GAAGGAGGAATCTCCTCTTTATTAGCAGCAGCTTCGAAACGCACCCCAAGAGATTGGGATGCATGTAATAAATCAGTATTTGCCTGCAAATCTTCCTGAGCAATTTCAGTGAGAACTTCACTACCTTCATCAAGAGAGGGAGCCCTGCTCTCTTCAGTACTGGCAGCAATTGTCCCAGAGGTGCTCAGATGGACCATTTGAGTTATAATCAAAATTCTGGACATAGTTACATGTGTAATTATTTTCCTTTAAAGAAATAGTAAAATAAACATGATTATAATGCTCTTCATATGACAAATACCCCCCAGTTAAATCGGTGTCTTCATTGTACCAAGGGTAATAAATTATTATTTTTGCTCTGTACTACTTTGTTGGCAGTTTCCAAATTAAATCTCTTGAATCTGATGACAGCTTCTCTCTTTCGGTTCTTCATCTTTCCTTATCTACCAGTTAAAATTATCTCACTTGAAGCTTGAAGCCCATCGTCATCAGTTGAAGGTACTATGTCGGTATCTTCATCATCAAGATAGTCATAATCAGTTGTGTAATTGGCAGCAAACTCTGCCAAACACATGCTCCGTAGACTGTGAGGCCTATGCTGATAGCGATCAATCAAGCTTTTTTTAAGCATATTAGTGTCATTCTCATCTAGGATGACAAGGAAAGGGTTGTCTTTTAAATCTCCAATTTGTTTCTCTTCTGTATTTGAGTCTACATACACCACAGACCTACTAAGCATTTTGAGTGGTAAAGAAAGAATATGGTATACTGCTTCCTGAGCACCAAGCTCTCTATGAGATAAGAAAGCAGTGCCAATTTTCTTTAGTTGCATAAGTAGTTCTTCCCCTATCACTTCCTCAGTGACTGACTTCAGAAGTTGTCCCATTGATTTATCCGCCTTCATGATGTACGAAGCAATGTACTTAATGCAAGAATAAGCATTAAACACAGGTTGAAAATCCATATTTGCACACCAAAGCAACAAAACAGAAGGGTTGTATGGATTTATGTCACACTCACAAGGCTCTCTTTTTAGTACTATGGTGTGACCTCTAATTGACAACTCAATAGCATTATTAAAATCATTAGGATTGACCTCAGTCAGTCTCAGCAAGTCTTCAAGACTGACATCAGTCTTACCAGATAATAGTAATTTTCGCACTTTTCCTAATATTTTGGATGCTTTATTGGCTTCAGTTTCATTGTCACCAGTTACTGGTTTGGTTACTAGTATACGAGTACTTGGAGGATGGGAAAACCTAAATCTACAGCTCATTCCCCGTTTACAGTAATTTGAATGCCTGTGTTGTTGTAACAATAACACTTTATTTCAACTTTTATACCTACCTAAAAATTTTGAAAATTCTTTGTCACTTGCTAAGCCAAATTTTGGTGAATCTTAAACCCATATGAGAGTATGGGCATGAGGAGAGCCCCTAGCCTGGAATTCAATGTGAATATCAATGTCTTACATCTTCCCTAAAGGCTCAGCAGATGGTTTCAAAAACTCATCAAAAAAGACATGAAGGTGATAATGAAAGTGGCGAGCTGCTATAACATGGTTACACTTCAGCCAATTGCTTTTCTCTTGAAAGAAAAGGTTTTCTAATTCATCATTGGTGTAAATCACGCCATCCTGCGTAGCAATAATGCTCATAATATCAGGCCATTTCATATCAGCAGCAGTTAATGTAAAAAAAATGTTGGTATTCCCAACTGACGAACCATTGCAAGCGACTCAAAATGTTTTTTTGTAGTAAGCCCCTCACATTTTTTATAAAAGAGTATGCCTACTTAAGAACTGATGATTTCTTGCCTGGATAGCAGTGAGATTTCCAGAAGGTTTCTTACGCCAGATGTAATAATTGGCAGCATCTCAAATTTGCTTGGATTCCACTTTGTATTGGAAAGCAAGCAAATTTTAGCTAACCTACCATCAACGTCTAAAAGACACTGTTGAAAATATTTTCGAAGTGAAATTTTGTGGGCGGTTTGCATTAAATCCTCCATTACCATAGGGAAATTTAGATGGATTACTCATTTCTTCAAAATGAGTATCAGACATTGTGTCTATTGGATGATGCTCTTCCGCAGGAGCTTCAGAATAAATCCTTGCCTCGACTTCTGGATTTTCATAAAAGAGCATGCTTGTCATTGGGGCACCTCCAGCTATCTGGCGCAAATGTTCATTGCCCTCTTCAATTACGACATCACTTAATTGATTATTAATATTATTACATGTATTAGTATGTGATGGGTCAAAATGACCAGCAGGGACACTATTATTTTGCAGTGGTGTTACAATAATACTATCATTACATGAAACATTATTAGTAGAAACAGGTGTTGTGCTACTGAATACTGGGTCAACGCCAACATAATGCATCTGGCCCATATAGCCAATAATAATTAAACTAAGTAGACTACCTCCACTTGGTTCAATTACAACTACACTGGTAGTCACACTGCAATATATTGTAGGGTCTTAGGAGCAGGGGCGACAGGGGTAGCTTGAGCCACCCCACTTTAGAAACTCCCAAGAATTATTATTCATCATTATTAATGATTTTAGTTTATTAAAATTAGTTGAGCTGGCACACCCATAAATAAAATTTGCATAAGCTCAACATGTAGTCACCTGGTCGAGTTCCTGTTCCCGACTCTTTTCAGCTGTTCAGTTCTTCTAACTTTATAGAAGTGTTATGGCAAGCAGCTCCCTCAGATCCACAGTACTCAATGAAGTTCCAAGTGACAAGCCACATCAGCCAAGATTGTTTCTTTTTCCACATCAAGAATTTGGTAAGACCCATGTGACCAAGCGTTCTTTTCAACCCCAGTGGTTTCACAAGTGCAAATGGCTTCACTATGTTGAGGAGAAGGATCTAGCATTTTGCAATACATGTGTTGTAGCACAACAGAAGAATCAACTTCATTCTGTTTCAAACCTTGAGCAGAACTTTATCTCTATTGGATTTTCCAACTGGAAAGATGCTACAGCTAAATTAACCAAACACGAATCAAGCCACTGGCCACAAAGAGGCTGTGTAAGTCATAACTCTTCCAGCACCTACTGGAGATGTGGGTGAGATGATGTTTCTCAACTTGCAAAGCGACAAATGGAACGTCGGAAGTGCCTCTTAAAGCTGCTTTCGAATGCTCGCTTCCTTTCGAGGCAAGGACTTCCTTTTCGTTGAGATGGGAAGGAGACAGACTCTAACTTCATGCAATTACTTGCCCTTCGTTTTGAAGATATACCCAACCTAACTGAGTGGGTGATGCATAACACTGACAAATATACATCCCCAGAAATGCAGAATGAAATGATTGCTATTATGGGTGCAGTTGTCTTTAGGAAGATTTCAGGTTGACAATACTACGGATGTGTCTCTAATGTAGAGCAAGTTGTCATTTGCCTGAGATGGATTAGTTATAATTTTGATGTACATGAAGATTTTGTGGGTTTGTATGAGGTTGAGTCCATTGAGGCTGCAAGGCTCTATCAAGTTATACTTGATGTATAGTCGGTTTCAGTTGAGTTGCCACAGGAAATGACCTAGTGGTAAACATCATATGACATCAGAGAAGTCACATGCATGCGCTTGCATATAATGAACATGGGCGGCACGATAACGCCCTTCATGTGTCTAGAATAAACTTTCTACGTGAATCTTTTCTTTGCCGATGTTCTTTATTATTATCTCGCTTTCTTGGACTTCAAATATCTTCTCGGACTCTACATCTATCATTACAGCTACTACTAAACTGCTACACCATTCTGTTGGACTTCTTGAAAGTTGTACCTTGTGAAGCTCCTTAGGTAAGTGCTTGCAGCAAAAATTCATTATAAATCTCAATTTTGTTATAATTTGTCAGCTGGTAGTGGTGGTTGTGTTAGCTGTCTCTCTGCATCAACTTTTTTGTCTTAAAAGGATAAGTTATTATTATTGCTATAATTATTAAAATTAACTTACAATTATTATTGTGTTGCTTTTCTAGGATGCCTGGAAGAGGATCAAAAGTCTGGAGAGAAGAGGCTCGTCGTCCGGACCTTCAATTACTTTGTTGGAGAAGATAGTAATAGCAAGGGGAAGAAAGGTGGACAAGCAAACAGCGCTCTGCAAAGACCATCACAATCACTGGTACATTAATTAATTATTATGATTAATAATTTTTACTTTGTACTTAGGATTCTCAAGAAGAACAGTGAATTGCATACTTAGTGAGTATGAATGTTTGTCCACTGATGATTTTGTTTCCCCTGCCAAGAGATACAAATGTTTTTATACTAAGGTATAATTATGCCATACCTTTGCCCAATTTACTAATTTTATAGAGGGTTATTGATAGTTTTGACCGCCTAGTTATATGACAAAAGTTTTATGAAATGTTTGATAGCAGGGTTCAGGTTACAGTTAGTAATTTGCTAGCTGAGTTAAAGATGGCTGATATTAATTTGGTAATAAATTACTGAACTCTAAATTGACTTGTAATTATAATTCGTAGGGACCTCGAACAAACCTGTGGCGACTATTGAGAGATATGGGATTTAAATATAGGATGCAACAAAACAAGCGTTCATATTATGAAGAACCCCAAATAGCTAATCACCGGGCGAAGTTTTTCATAAGGATGAAGAGGAACTGAGAAGAGAAGAAAAAAGTTATATATTTGGATGAAAGATGGATGCACACACATGACGCTATTGCTCGTTCTTGGGTGGAGAAAGATGAAGTTACTGGCGAAACACTTGGCAGTATTAGTTGTCCAAGTGGAAAAGGAAAGCGACTCATTATTCTTCATGCTGGTTCTGAAGATGGCTGGATTCCAAACTGTGATTTGGTATACCAGTCAATTGAAGAAGAGGGTGATTACCATGAAGAAATGAATTGCCAATCTTTTGAAAACTTGTTTGAAAATAACTTAATACCAAATATTCCACCCAATTCATTAATTGTCATGGATAATGTGTCGTATCATTCAAGAAGGTTTGAGCCATTGCCAACTAGTAATTGGAGGAAAGGTGACATGATTACATGGCTAACAAATAAAGGTATACCACTCCCCACTAAAGGCATAAAGCAGAATCTTTACGCAATCATTAAGAAACACAAGGAGAAATACAGAAAATATGTCATCGATGAAATGGCAAAAACAGCTGGACATGAAGTTGTATGTTTACCTCTATATTATTGTGAACTAAATCCTATTGAAATGGCATGGTCACAAGTCAAACACTATGGAAAAACACAATTTAGAATTCATGCTAGACGCATTACATCGTCTTGTGAATGAAGAGTTTGCCCATGTAACTCCTGAAAGGTGGGCCAGTCTAATTAGACATACTCAGGAGAAAGTAGAAGATGTGTACTTTACTGCTGATAGATTAGAAAACTGGAAAAGAGTTGAAGAATTCGTCATACATGTCGGAGCAGATAATTATGAAAGCGATTCAGATGAAGAGGACAGTGACATTAGTGATTACAATTCTGATAACTCTGATGATGAAATATGAAGAAGTAAAAGTAGGGAAACAGTCCACTGCTTATGTCTAGCTCAAAGCAGTAGAGGACTTGTGAGTAAATACCTACTTTTATGGAGCAATAATGGCATTGTATATTGGGGAAACAGTCCACTGCTAATGCAGGTAGTCAGTAATAGTTTGCTGTGCATTACTGCAGTAGAGGACTTGTAAGTTAATACTCACTATAGTTTGTGATTCTTGTTCGAATCTTCTTCAGCAGTCTCATGGGTGGTTGGTGCGGGGGGCCAGTGATGCAGTGTCACCTATTTGCGATGGTACTGGCCATCACCCTTGTTGGGGTGCAAGAACACTTTAAATAATTTATTTTATAATGTTTTTTAGTGAAAATATCAAAATAATTCAATTTAATGCGCTTTATTCGCTATAATAAAATGTAACTACGTGTTAATGATTTACAAATTATAGTCATACATGATGTAATATGTGACGTCACAGAAACGTAAATGGTGGCACTCTTTCATCTTCCTCCGGAATCCCAATGAAAACCTTCCAGAGAACCTAGGTGCACGAAAATTGGTACAGATTTTCGGAAGGACTCGTTATGCAGCTATACCAAAATTGGATCTCCTAGCTGCAAGAACAGCAGTTATAAGGGGTGGAGCTTGGGCAACTCAACTGAAACTGACTATACTCTTGCGCCTGAACCTGAGTATCACCAAGATAAGGGGCAATTGTTTCGATGGCGCTTCAGCAATGAGCGGTATAAATTAGGTGTAGTGGCCAAAATACAAGAAATTGAGCCCAGAGCAGTTTTTACTCACTGGTATGGTCACGCCTTACACTTAGCATGTGCTCATACAATCAAGAGGTGTAAGTTAATGAAGGATGCACTTGATGTTACATATGAAATAACTAAGCTAGTGAAGAGGTCACCACGTCGAGATGCCATAATCAAGCGTATTAAGCAGGAAATGGCCACATCTTGGGATTCTAGAGGAATTCGTGTTCTTTGTCTAACTAGATGGACTGTAAAGAGGCGGAAGCATTAAAATCAATTCTGGATAATTTCAATGCCCTTCTAGAGCTATGCGATGAATCACTACAAATTGTCAAGGACATTGAAATGAAAGCCAGGATTCTTGGTGTTCAAGCTCAAATGAAAAAATTTGATTTCTTGTTTGGAGTATCACTTGGTTTTCTTTTGCTGAAGCATACAGACAACCTGAGTAAAACAATGCAAAAGGAAGATATGTGTGCAGCTGAAGCCCAAAATGTGACATCTTTGACTCTCTCTACTTTAAAATCCCTTCATAATGATGTTAGTTTCAATTGTTTTTTGCTAAGGATTATTGCATCAGCACAAGAGATGGATGTCAATGAAAGGCTCCACATCGTATTGGTGATGGTGCAGCATTAGCAACCTTTCCTGAAGCAGTAGAAGATCACTATTGTGCTATCTACTTTGTAGCATTAGATCTAATTACTTCATGTATTTTTGACCGTTTTGATCAACCAGGCTATAAAATGTATGGAAATGTCGAAGCTTTACTTCTTAAAGCAGCTACAAGTCAGCCATATGAGGAACAGTTGAAGCATGTGATTTCGTTTTATAGCTCTGATTTTGATTATACTTTGCTTTCAACTCATTTAGAGATTTTCTCTAAAACATTTCAACCTATATCATCTGAAAAACAAACAATGGTTTCAGATATTCTCACCTTCTTCCAGTCATCATCACCAGGTCAAGTCCAGCTCATGCATCAAGTGGCAAAGCTAATGACACTATTGCTTGTAATGCCAGCTACAAATGCTCAAAGTGAGTGGTCATTTAATTCTGTTGGACGTATTAAGACGTACTTGCGTTCTAGTATGAGCCAAAAGCGCCTTAACCACTTAATGCTGCTGCATATTCACAAGACAGGTACTGATGAACGGGATTTGATTCATGTTGCAAACAATTTCATTTCTAATCATAAACATCGAAAGAACTTTTTTGGTATTGAGTTCAAACAATCTCATTTAAATCAGTAATTATTTCAAAAAAATAATCGTATAAACAGTACAAGCAATATAATAATATTTTATACGTCATTATAATAATAGGTAGGGGTATGGTCAGGGGCGAGGCATGCACACACGTACGTACTTACGTACCCATGCCAAATGGGTGGGTCAGACACGCGGCCAATATGACCACGCCCATTTTTCACTGCACTTCACGTGCCATGAAGACAGCCCCACCACCTTCATTTTCCTTCCTACGGCTCTGTATTGTAATGGAAATGTTCAACATTTCACTCAGCCCATTTATTGTTAAATGGTCTCCCCAGGCCCCTCTACTTAGCCTATCCAAATAATGATTCCATCTTACAATGGGATTTACCCTAAGAAACATGTCTTCCTCACACTTAATACCAGCACTGGCACCATCAGTAGCTGGCTCATTGAAAGATTTAAACCTAGAATAATGTGTACCATCACTCATGCAAGGATTATGTCTAAAAAATGACACAACTTGGCTTCTAAAATTAGTGTGTGTAGTTTGAATACCACAATGATGAAGATAGTAAGCAACTACATGGAAAAGACAGCTGCCATCAGGGGGAACATCATGGATTGTGTATCCATGTTGTCTAACAAAGTGACTAAGATCACTATAAGGGCTATTAACATCCATGGGAATAATAGGGAGACTATTGCATGGGACATTCACAGAAACAGTAGGTGCACTCTGTTGGGCACCATTAACATCCATGGGAACACTGGGAAAACTATTATTACATGTATCTGGGACATTTACAACAACAGTAGGTTCACTTTGTTGGGCAGTACTGTTGTCATAACTGGGTTGCTTAAACAAGCCCTCAAATATATTTCTATCATCACATGCAGAGTCAGCAGCCATTCCTCATTTATATTAACATTTGCATACAGGGGTTTTTTAACTTTTAGCCATTTGAGGGAATTCATAACAATGGTTGGCCTAACATACTGGTACATGTAGTGATCCTTGTAGGAAAGTTTTCTCTTCAATTTAAGGGCAATCAGTTCACACTGAGATGGCAAACGGGGAAGCACATCAACCACTGTATCAACATTAGATGGGACATTCACAGCTGGTTCATGAGCCCGTTGTTTGCAACTAGGTAAGGATACCATTTTCATAAATGGTATCCTAAGGGAAATCAATCGTAACTCAAGCTCATTCAAACATTCCAGTTTAGGAGGTATAGTTTCAAGGCCAAGGCCATTAGCTTTCGCCATTACAGGAGCATTACTCCTTTTCAGTGAACGATTACAAGTAAGGCATATCCATTCTGTACCATCAGGACATTCATATTGGTGCCTAAAAGTGTTCTGTAACATTTCAGGGGTCCCTTTACTATATTTTTTTCTATCAAAAGAAACTACATTGGGGGAATACATCATGCGGTGACAGACTGTACAAACAAAATCAGGACCCATTCTAATTTTTTTAAGAAAGCAGAAATAGTTTCATCAATGGAATCTGTTTTACTTCGGACAGATCTCTTGCTTGCAGTGTTTTTAGTTCTTTTAAGTTGTAATGAAGCTGAGTCTTTATTAGCTCTCATAAGAGCCATGCGCTCTCGATTAATTATATTCTGCTGTGTAGAGGATTCAAGGCTTTTGGTGCTTCTCACACAAGCCATGTGTTGTTTATTCATCAATTTCCTTTGCGCAGATTCATCCAAAGATTCATTAGTTCTTTTAAGTGCTTTTCTATTTCTATGAAGCTCTTTTTTCTCGCTTGTCATATCCTTAGAACATTTTTCAACTTTTCCAAATATAATACCACAAGAATCAGAGTTTTTTGTAAATGCAGTAATTGAGAACCTTTGGGGACAATTCTTTCCAAATAGTCCGATACTGCACTGATCTTTTCTCTTTTTCAATGAATAACCACAATCACAAGAAATTCTTTTATTATGAATTAATGTACAGCATTTGGCACATTTCCTGGTGGAACCAGGGTTTATTTCAATGTCTCCACCCAAGAGTAAAATTTTGTACAAAAAAGTCAAAATTACTAAACACTGAACAAAGTTTATGTAGTGTTTACCATAAGCTGTAGTCTTCTGGTCAGTTTCATAACATAGGTCACTACCAGTAAATTTACATGTACTTGTACCACAACAAATAAAGCAGCCAATGGCCGCTCTATAAGCTTCTAGCAGCCGTTCTTGGTGAAGAAAGCCTAGCATAAACTAGGCTAAGTTGGATTACTTATAGGTCAGGAAAGAATTGCTTCAAAGCAATTTGCCACATTTAAATGGAGTAAAACGTTGTATTCTACCTTCAATTACATCATTCCCTTCACTATGACAGAACTGTACGAGTGCTGACCAAGCTTAGCCGCATTTTCTGCTTTTGCTCCCTCTGGAATGATAAATGAAGCAGTTGGCTGATAAAAAAACTTTTTCAAGCTCTAGTGTTGGCTATAAGACTCTTGAGAACTTGAGTGGAAAGAAGCAGCAGAGGCTTGAAAACAGATTTGGCTTGGACACACTCTGACAGGACAACTGCTTTACCCTCGCTTCCACGCCTACGCGTGGGCTCAGGTAGTAATACTGAACTAGATAAAAACTATGATGATTACCTTTCATACACTAAAGTATGGTTGGAGAAAGTGAACAGAGGTGGATTATGTCAGGTCAAAAATGAAGTTTATTAATAGTTATTTAAAACATTTTCTGTTACGAAGTGGAGTGTTGTCACAGGTGGATCTATGTATTTCAATCCTCTCTTACAATTGCCTCTTACAGGCTGAAGTCCAATTGACTTTAGCATT